CATTTATTGTGCTTTTGGCGGCGACATGAGGTGCAGACCTTCCCACCACATCAAGGAATCTTCAGACGATCATCTGATTGCTCCTTGTCTCTCCAGATGATTCTACGCTTAAATGTTTGTTCAGGCAGCGAGGGGCAATCGGCTGCACGGGGAAAAAGCAGCAATCAACCCCCCCCCTCGAGTTAAAACGCAGAGCCATTAACCCCCAGCAGACAGGGGAGGGCGGCTCTGGGTGCCGGAGGTCCACAGGTGGCTTTTTTAAAGGACTACACACTGTTTTCACTAGTATGTATGCGTGCAAACGAAGCTGATTGAACAACTAGTTGGAGACAGAGACGGATAAATGGGACACACACGGGGAAGCGGTGAGACCTTTGAGCAGCAATAATCAACCCATCCGGTCTCCTCTTTGCTCGCATGTTGCGTGTGAATGACTTTGACGCGACGGAACAGTGTGAGCTGTGTACTCAAGAGAGGCGGGTTACCTTCACTAACCGAGTGGCTTTATTAGCATTAGGAGGCGAAAGAAGGACTCTGAGAAGGTCGGGATAAGAGTAAACTGTGGGGCGTGCAGAGAAAAAAGAAAAAAGGATAAGTTGTCCAAAGAAAGAACTCCACTTTTAGCGCGGATGCGTACGCAAGGCTGTTGGTCTTAATCAAAGCGTGCAGGAATAAACACACGTGATTCCTACAGGCAGGAGATGTTTGACGAAGTCAGTGAACGGGCTAATTTCCTCAGTGCGCCATTAGTGCATCAGCTGTTTACAAGCACAGACTGGGATTACTTAACATTCAGCGGGAGGAGGGCCATGTTTTGATCACCACGTTTGGGACTTTTGGCAGCTATTGACCTCAAAGAATTTTCTCACCGAGCGATGAAAAGCATTTTGCCTTCAGTGTGGGACGCGGGAGCGACTTTATTCACGTAGCATCTGTCATCTCTAAAGGCTGTGGGTTTTAAATTTCATAATTGGTAGGAAACGGCAAACTGCGTAATCACGCCGCATTCCCGACCAGGGATCTAATCAGCCACTTTTTCTGACACTATTTGTAACTGTGCCGAAATCTAATATAATTATCCAACCAAAAGATGCTCAGCTCGCCGCCGAGCACGAGGTACGAACTACGCTGTGCGAAATGACTTTAATTTGATGGACATTTGACGACAGCTCACAGTCTAAAATACATTTTTCCTGTTTGGTGGACTTTGCGGAGCCGCTTCTTGGCTTTTATATTTCCCCAAGGAACCAATTAGTTTGATTGGTGAACCTTTCAGAGAGAGAGAGACAGACAGACAGAGGCCTTTTGTGTGTCTCCTCGGAGATAGTTCGCCATTATAATGATGGATAGTAAGTCGATCATAACGTAAATACATACATGTGCACGGTCCTTAAGATGGTACTAAACTTTAATCAATATTATCCTGTAACAACATTGTTCCACGACGGCTAAATCAGTTCAGCCTTGTTCTTCTAAAGTCATGATAACTTCATACTACATAAGATTTCATTTGTGAAACCCCCATATTTCATCCTTTGGTTCGATTACGCAGGTCACGTATTAACCCCCCTGTCGGGCCCGGGAGAGAAAAACAACAACGTGGCGTTTTCTTTTTAAATGATTAAGATTATTGAAACCTGTTTGATGGATGAATTAATTTCATGAAAGGCTACACATGAGAAGTGAAGGCTGTGTTTCGTGTCTCCGCCAACTTTAACGTGAAAGGTCCCTTCGCCCGGGCCGCCTCGCTCCGTAGCGAAAGGGTGACAAACGCATTCTGCTACGCTCGTCATCTCGCGCGTGATCTAAAGTTAAGAAAGCCATGAATTTGACTTGAAATGACAGATCCGTTATGTATCGCCAGCTTTAATGGGCCCTCGTGTGCAGGATATCCGTCAAGCGGAGCAGGTGCCTGCAGACACACCGCCGCGGTGTTTTGCATCCCGGCATCTAATTATTTATTCCAGAGAAGACGGCGAGGGAGAGACGCAGCGGCGTTCAATACGCCTCGCTCTGCCATTTTGAGATGCTTGTTTATACCAGAGGGCTCCATCTATCATAAGGCAGCCAGCAGGTGGCTGGGGAAACTACATAGGAACGTTTCTGGCACTCACGGGTGGATTAATTTTTGTGCACTCCAAAATAAATGATGACTGATTCACAGCCTCAAGTGATTCCGTACATCTCCTGGTTGATTCCCGCAATCTGTCAATGGCACAACGGCTCATTCCGACGCGACTGTCTCCGGCTTCCTTTCCGAGTACAGATGGAACACGTGAAAATACCAACATGTTGCACCGGACTCTTTGCTCCCAAACCGTAATATCAGCCACTTTCAATAACCTCTCCTAATTTAACTGATATGTGTCCTCTGCTGCTCTGTGAACACAATGACTCGCGAGTCGCTGCGTCACGGTGAAGTTTGGTCATGTTTTTCTCCTAAGTTATTCTCAGCAGCATTCTTTTTTTCTGCCTGTTGTCCTGAGGCGCAGCTCCCAAGGTCTCATCGACGGTCCTGTCCTTTGCCTCAAAGAGCTGCTCCGGCTGCTGCAAACAATCCACTTGAAATGCAGACGAAGATTGAAAGTCAATGTGTGCAGTTCTAATGCATTCGTTGCCACAGGTTTTCAAACCAGCGGCGATACGTGACTCATAGGTCAGGGGAGCTGCCACATCATCGAATAAAACCAATAAAGGTCAACAGATTGCGTTCCAGGAGACGAAAGGATGTCTTATTAAAGCCCAACGGTTCATGCATCCTCTGACAGGCTTATCATCTAACACTTTTATTTAAGGTTAGACAACCTGGATATGAGAAAATACATGCAGCTAATAACTTTATCTGCTGCATCCAATCCAGACGTTTAGCACCGGGATTGATTTTTTTTAAATTTCAGTTCACTCTGTGTCTGATGTCATGATTTTTCAATACCGATAACAGCTCCATCTTCCCTTCAGGAAACAGCTGAGTGTCACTCGGGACTCCTGGAGCTGAGGTGGTGCGACAGCTCTCGTAAAATGGCACTCCCTCCGCTCACGGCCAAGAAGGTTGATTTTAAAATGTACGGTTGCGGAGGTCCGTGGAGCTCCGTCTGAAGTCTGACATGCTGTCATACCACATGTTCCACAGCTCTGTCCACAATCCCCGACTGGTCCCCTAAGAGTACACATTGTCAACCGTATGAGCATCGCCGCCAGTCGGGCCTCTGGGACTTTTTAACAGCACGACATCTGTGTGAAAACCTAAACAAATTTGCATGTGTAATGTTTCTCTCCTTTTTTTCCTTTTTACTACCAAAGTGTCGAGTAAAGTGCAGCTTTTATCATCACAATCACCACTTATCGCCTTCATCTTGACTCGTGATCAGCATCACAGCAGAGATAAAAACACTTTTACGTATAAATCTGTCGGCGCTCAAAAGCAACGTGAACGTGATGAGCTCCGAGGGGAAAGAAGGCGGCTGGACTCGAAACCGGGGATCAAGTGTTTTTCGATTTGGAGTCTTTATTCTCCAAAGCAATCCACAACTTTGGTACACGCCCAGCTCTGAGTACCTCTCAAATCCATTCACAGAAACGCAACGACGATTTTCACAGAGCTTCAATTTAAGTCGTAAAGAGACAAACGAGGCGCCGCCGTTTCCATTTGGAACGGTTAGTCACCTTTTGGGAAACTGCTTGTCTCCCCAGGACATCTGTCTCTCTCAAACGGCAACGTATCGAGGAGGTCTCTCTCCTCCCTTCGACTCCTCACCGTCATGAGAAGCTGTAGTTCTCTCTCAGTATCCTTGGCACGATCTCTCTCTCTCCCCCCCTCTCTCTCTCTCTCTCTCTCTCCCACAAAGAACCAAGCTCAGGCAACTTGCATACAAAATAGCTGACTCAATCATCCAGCTGCATAATCAAGATAAGGGAAGACGGAGACAGGAAAAAGGGGGAGATGCGAAGGCTAACGCGAGACACGGCTTTAGAGGAAGCAGCGAAAACGAATCCGTTTTGAAACCGTCCTAACCCGGAGACGATAAAAGTTGGAGGAAGTGGGACCGTGATCCACGCTGATGGTAGAAGCTCAGCTCGGGCTGATCTTCCGTGTGAAATGAGTGGAACAAGGGCCCCCCGATGCAGTGAATCCAGTGGCACGAAACAGATGGAGCTTCACATTCGTGGTGCAGCTGGGGGTAAAGTCACAGATAATGGGCTTGTCATTCCTCTGGTTTGTCGTGTGGCTGCTTTCCTGAGAAACTGCCAAACGTTTCGGCATTTTTTTTGTTCTCTCCCCATCGCTACGGACAGACCCGTCCCGATACGAACAAACACGAGCCTTCACAATATATAATTCTTTTTTTTTCAGACAGATGGCTCAGACACAGCAACACCCTCGGCTAATCTCAGTGGGGCTGCAGGGGCCACAGTACTGGAAGTAGGAGAATGTGTACTGACAGCATATTGGGTTCAGGCCATAAAACGCCCCGGTCATGTTTTACTTGTTGTACATTGTTAGAGCCGTACCGTCTGTTATACATTAATAAAGATATTATATATAATACAAATGCAAATATAACAACACGGGTTGTCATCTTGGTCCTCGGTTTATTTGTGTAAATCCCTGAAACTAAGTTGAGCCCGAGCCGGAGCTGTCCCTGGTGCTGAAGCGACATCTCGCGCGGGCGGTGTTTACCGGCGGAAGCTACCGGGTCTTATTAAAAAGTGTCAACGTCGCTGCAAAATGAACATCACTCACTTAATGGAGAATGGACGTTGTAACGGAATAACCGAAGTTAAAGCTACACGTTTCCGTCCAGGTCGCGGGCTCAGTTATGCGGAGAACTCGGCGAAAGAAACGAGCGTAAAACGCACCGATTTCCAAGTTCCGCACGAGCTCCTTGCGATTAGAAGAGTTACTCTTTCGGTTCTGCACAAAAAACATTCCAGCACACCGTTGCAAACAACTCAAAGTGCGGTGTTTTATCCGCGGTGTTCCGGTGAAGCAAACGGCTTACCTTGCGTGACGGTCGCGGCGCGCGAGCCTCCCGCTTCCCGAACGCGAAGCCGGCGGCTTCACTGCGAGTCGCCACGAGCTTCTGTCTCTGCTCACAGCAAATAAAAAGTCAAATAACCAAAAAGAAGAAGAAGAAGCAGAAGAAGAAGAGGAAGAGGAAGAAAAGAATCCCAGGTCTCCGCAGGTCTCCGGGCTGCGTCAGCGCGAGATCCTCGCGGATCCGTTTAGCGGTGAGCGATTAGATTCGGGGCCGAGCTCCTCTCAGC